AGGGTGTGAAGATGGCCACTCTCTTACTTAACCAGATATGCTGAGCCAACCCAGTCTGTGCTAGCTTGTTCCAGGGTTATCTGCCCAAGGAAAATAACTATTCAGAAAATTAGGGAAAGAGTGTAAACGAGTTAGGAGCTAAGTCAGTCACACAAGTGGTGTGACAATTTGGAGATGCACTGAGGGAGTGAACAGATGAAGCAAGCGATGAAACTGGAATTGGCAGAGGCCAGCCAGAGCACAGACCAACTGATGTGTAATTCATACATTATAGATTTCCTCTAGTGTGTTCTCCTTGCTCGTGTATTTGTGTGCTTCTCTGAGTCATGCACATATTTTTAGACAACGAACAGCACCGAAGAGGCAGGGCTAATACAGACATGCACCACACAATGACATTTAGGTTAATGACAGACCACGTATACAAAGGATGGTGGTCTGTAAGATTACAATGCAGCTGAAAAAGTCCTATGACCTAGTGACCCCTTACCCTTCCTAAGGTCTTCATGCAGTGCATCATGGTTTGGTGCAGGTCTCAGTCACTGGTGGTAATGCCACATGCTGAAACTGCCTGGGCCCCAGTGAGCCTCCCACAGATATCCCGCCTTTGTACACCAGCCTTAAAACTGAACCTGACTTGTGTGGTTCTTATTCCAATTGCAAGATGCCTTCAGCAATAGCCACTAGGAAATGTTGAAGGAAAAGAGAGTTTATTATAGGCCCCGGAGCATACTAGGGGTGCCAGAGGGAACACAGCAGGGAGAGAGAGAACCCAATGAATCAGCTGGACCAACATGGGCCTGGAATTCTGCTTTTATTGGAGTTTTACTCAGGGACCTAGGGTTTCAGGGACTAACTCTTTATTAATGACTTTAAACAAAAGAATGGGAATTTAAAGTGTGGAAATAGAAAATAAGCAAGAAATCCAAAGGTCAGTTATTACAATGAAGTTTTCAAAAACTAAGGGGTCCCAGTGGGGGCAGGTGGCCTGGCCCTTTATCTTGTCCTGTGGCTGGTGATGGGTTTATTCCAAATAGCCTCATGGAAGTGGATGTGTCTGCAATCACAGCTAAGGCTGGCACTTGCGTTACACAAAGCAGTGCCAGCTGTCAGAGTTTAGGCTACAATTGCTCAGCGTTTTTTGTAGTGATGTTGCGAACAAATCTCTGCTGCCAGCTCTATAAACGTATAGCACATACAATTACAATTACCTTCTCTGTTTGTGTAAGTAAGTAAACTCCATGATGTTCGTGCAATTACAAAATGCCCAACAACGCATTTCTCAGAAGGTATTCCCATCTTTAAGCAGCAGGTGACTGTACGTGAGTGTGTATATAAGGGACATAGTACAGCAATTAAGTAATTAATTAGTATTGTCTTCTAGAGCAGCTTGCCAAAGGGGTTAGAAAAATAACATGAAATACCGATAACATTTTAAATTCCTAAGAAAAATAATTGGGGAATCTTTTACTCAGAGAATGTATATTACTTTCAAAGAACCTCCCCTGCAAAAACAACAACAAAAAAAAGAGGTCAGTGGAAAACCAGAGGAATTTTATGAAAGGTCACCCAAGGGTTGGATGCCTACCCAAGTGGTCACTCCTAGACAAAGGCAAGCAAAAAGCATACCAGGTCCTCAAAGCCTCAGAAATGTTACCAGTTTAGGAACTTTTTGTCATTATAAACAGAGCCAGAGAAGAAAACTTTGAATAAAAATTTGAAGAGATCTGGAAATAATTACATGATGTGGCAAAAGTAGGTTTAGAGTTGTAATTATGTGAGTTTAGTCTTATATTATTTATTAATTACTGTATTATTTTCCATGTGGACAACTGTAAACCTACTTTTCCCATGCCCTTTATTGAAACAAGTAAAATTTAAAATCACAGAATAAAATGATGAGTCACTGAGTAGTTAAGTAATAATTGTGATTAGTAAAAACCAAGTGTGTAAGGGATTGCTAGGTTAACTAAGAGTGACTAGGAGAGGAGATAGAATTTACAATGAATTGAAACCATGTGTCTCCTATGGGAACACATATTTCCTAAGGACAAAGGCCTTTGAGGTGAGAAAGAAAATGCATTGTGCTTAGTCCCTGAGAACAGATCGATTGGATCACACAAAATTAGATACAACACAAATTTAAGTGGAGGATTCATTATCAATCACTGAATGGAAATATTCTAGTATATCTGAAAAATTCTGAACAATGTGTCTATTATACTTTACCTTTCTCACACTTACTAGATTAGAATTATTCTTACCAGTCTGTTAACACACCTCTGCTTTAATTTGATTAATAGAGATGAAAAGGTGAAAAAATAGAAATGAACATGAATGTTGAAATTTTTTTGATGAGGTTATCAAAACAGTGAATGCAATTTTACAGTATACTGTTATATATATATGTATATATGTGTATATATGTTATATATACAACAGTATTTATATATAAATTATATATAATATCGAGAATGAGGAAGTATTGAAGTGTTTTGGACCAACTGGATTATACCAGAAACATCATGCTGTATTGTGCACTCCAAATTAGTGGAGTTTGAGTAAAATAAACATGATGGTAAGGAAACAAAATATTTAAAATAAGATATTCCACATGGGTAGAGAATACTTGAAGAGAAGTGTGAAAAAGAATGACAGTGATTGTCAAATATCTGTAAGACTTTCTCCTACGTAGGTGGAGGACTAAAGTGACCTTGAATAGCCCTAGGGATGAAATTTGAAACAATGGTTAGAAGCTACAGAACAAGTTACTTTGTATCAGTAAGAACATTATAAAACCAATACTGCCTACAAATGGAATAGGCTGCTTCGGGATATTTAACATAACTCAAAGTGGTCAGACATACACTATGATCTGCAGAGAAGATTCAATAGTGGCATGTATTGCTGTCCCAGGTTTTTGAGGTCCCAAATAGACCTGAGTTTTAGACCTGGAATGACTGCTTGAGTGACATTTTAAGAAATATTTTGTAATTTTATAATCTAAGCAGTATTTTTATGGTTATGAAAAAAGTAGATATGATAAGGACTTCTGATTTAGAATAGCCAGGATGCACTTTCTATTCTAAATAGAATAAAAATTCTATTTCTAAATAGAATAGAATATTCTATTCCATGTACTCTGTTATCCTCATCTAAATGCATTGGACATGCCCTGACTGACCGGGTTCAGTTTCTTAGGTGTGGTCCTGCAAAGAGAAAGGTCACCAGTTGGACTCCTGGTCAAGGCACATGACTGGGTTGTGGGTTCAGTCCTTGGTCTTAGATGCATACAGGAGGCAACTGGCTGATGTTTCTCGCATCAATCTTCCTCTCTATATATTTCTCCCTTCCTCTCCTCTCTCTGGAAAAATGAATAAAACCTTTAAAAAATAAATGCATTGGACATACCAGATATATTGAGTTATTGTCAAATGGACCAGTTTTGTTTAAAATTGCAGCTGTTTCTAGGTTCCTCAGTGACCCACACAATGCCTTTGGCACAGCAGGCATTTAATAAAGCAAGGGAAATTGAATCTTCACAGCCTTTGTCGGTAACCCCACTTTATGAAAGTGACTTTTACTTGTCAATATTTGCATTTCTCTGCCAGTTTTTAGACTGTCCAATGAACTGTGATAGGAATTAGATACATTAACAGACAATGGAGATTTGTTTTTTGTTTTGTTTTTTTGCTACTCAGCATTCATTTGCATTTCCTCTTAATAAATCACTGTGAATTTCATTCAAGTGATTTTCATCACTCAATTCACTTTATTTTCATTCAAGTGAATTTCATCACTCATCCATGCAGACCTGTATCTTTGGAAAAGTACATCTCACCTACAAGTCTAGGAAAAGGCCCTGGTTCACTTAAACTAGTCAACATATCTCAAATATTTATTGGCATGTATTGGCAAGTATTCCTAGCCACAGTGGTTTATTCAATTATGGACAATGGCCCAAATTGAGAGATTTGAGGAGATGTTTTCAGAGGTGGGGTGTTTTAAGAGAAAGTAGATGATATAAATATGTGGTGTCTGCAACTTGCAAGAGAATCCCTGGCTCTAGGAGAGAAGTTAGTATACACAGAGGTAGAAGAGCTGAGAGAAATACGGACAAAGTAAGTCTCAGTGATGATGCTGTGAACCTCTAGATGAAGACCATTTGGTTTGGGGATTCTGTTATGAAGCAACCAGAAGTATCGTAACAGATACAGAGGCTCAAAGAAATCCAGTGTGCACTGACAAAAACTGTGAATAACTTTTCCTTTTTATTCATCTCAACTCAGCCTTTTCCCACCTCCTCCTCTGAACATTCTTTCCTTGTTTCATTCGTGAGTATTTCCTGCACAAGTTGCACCGTTCATCTTCATAACTTTTCTCCAACCTACGTCTTCTCCTTGAGGGCCTCTTCTTGTCTTTTATTACTCAGTAAAAGCTAACCTTTTCTCAACCCCTGTCTTCCCTCAAGGTTTCATTTTTGCACTATCAGTTGTATACAAAATCTTCGTAACATATTTATTGTAACACTTACTTTTGATTATTCATTATTTATTTATATTTCTGCATTTCTTGGATTTTTTTAGACTAATTTTGTTTATGATCCCTAAACTCAACTGAGTTTCCATGTAGTAACTTATGAATGAATGAATTGCTCTAGTTCTTAATTAATCCTAGATAAGTGAAATATCAGGTTTACCAGAAGTAGCTTCATATTTAGAAAATAATTTTTACTTTTGACTGCAATGTTCAAATATTTTTGACTTATTACCCATCTATAAGTCCATTTTTGATCTTACAAGGCATGGCACTTTTTCAGTGACACATTATGGGATAAACACATTTAAAAAACAAAAAAGAGAGACACTTCCCAAAGAAATTTAGTGCAAAAAAAAGTGTAAGTATTGTGTGTACATGCATGAGCATCTCAAGATTTTAACTGCTTTTTAATTCAGGAAGGTTTGATGTATAAACATTTTACAAATCTGATCTCAAAAAGCAATGATTTGAATAATCTGAACTTTAATGCAAAAACAAAACATGAATTTGTTCAGTTTCTCATACAACATATTTATTAAACATTTCAGTGTCAATAATTTCTTAAGATTGTAACATTTAACCTTATAATGGAGCTAGTACCAATTCTATTCATGGGAGTATAGTTTGGACTTTTCAACAAGTTTAAATGAAATGAATGCCACTGTCATTTCAGGTTGTGCTTGGAGCAAAGACAAAGAAGCATCAACTCATTCTTTCCAACTAATAAAACATCAAATGATGCAATTTTATGACATTACTTTATGCTATTATCACAATGTTAAATATATTTTTGCTTCTGTATGTTCCTGAAATTCAATATATCAACTCTGAACATTACCAATTTTCACTCACGTTAGATTTTAAATATTAAATATTTAACTTGGGATTCAGGAAAAGTTGTGAGAAATAAAGATTAGCATTTAGCATCTTTTTCCAGCTCTCAACCATAGATTTTCAATTTGCTAGGACTTATCATGGAGTCTGTTTCAGGAAGGATAGGTTTTTAAGGTAGCTTTTTAGAAATAAAAAAATAGTTGCCTCTGAATCAAAGAGGGGATTCAGAAGCACTGAAGTTCCAAAGGACATGTGCTTTGATTATTGTTCCCACCTGTTTCTTCTTTTATTACAAAGTGGCGATTTCTACTATCATTAGAAATATACATTTATATATAAAGTTTTACATTCAAGTCTCTTTATTTTTGATTACCTATGACTAAATACCACAAATCAAATAAAAACTCTATATAATATATCCCTATTTCAGAAGCATATGTATATATACACATTTATATTTGTAGAACAATCCACCATTTAAATGTAATTCTGATTTTTAAAAAATGCTATTTACAACTTATGACAGAGAAATAATCTCAGCCTTTTATGATATTAAAATGACTGGGGCATTTTTCTGTTTGAATGTGTTTCACCTTGTGCAGATGAAATGGAGCGACTTCGTGAAAACCCATCGCGGAGCAACGCCTTGTAGATTAAGTCATGAAAGTGGATAGTAGATTTGCTATTTCTGGGTCTGTGTTTTTAAAAAAATTACTGTTGATGTAGTCATGCTTCTTCACCAAGAATCGGTGGTCCTGAGTTAGGACCTTCAAAGTTTCAATTCACATTAAGCCATTCTTGACCCTTTCATTTTGTCTTAATGCTCTCATCTCTTGCTAGTGCAATCAAGGACCACCAATCTACATATAATACCTATCTGCAGCATTGCTATTTTCTAAAATAGAAGGATTTGTCTAAAAAGCTATCTGGATTACAGGTCCTTGATCAAGCATCACAATGTGCATCAAATTGATACCTCTTCATTGGGCCAGTTCATCGTGGCTAAAAATGTGCTCTAAAATTCACGTGTAAAACTCGAAACCTAAACCATTACTGTGATCAAGAATAGGTTCGCTTCCTGTTCTCCTTTCCTGAGGCACAACTGTCTCTGAATTAGCGAATGGAACTCCAGCACCATTTTGTTTCTGTACCTCAAACCTCTAGCTTGAAAACCAAGTTAGGCATATTGACCAGAAAACTGTTTTGTGAGAGTCTCAAAAGTTTTTTTTTTTTCCCATTCTTACACCCACTGATTTTGAAACATGTTACAATTAGGACTCTTAGAATAAACATGTCTTAACTTGTATGTTCATAGCCAATTACAAAGCTTTGCTAGAAGTCCTATTTCTTCTGAGAATGCCTCGATGAATTATTTTTTTTATAAAAGCTTAGTTCACTTATAGGAGAATAAATAATGGATGAATTGAGACCCAGAAATTGGAATAATAAATATCAAAGTAAATAACTCTTTTCCTTGGAATAAACCTGAAAAATGAACTATTAAACTGGCTCATATTTTTGGAGAAAGCTAATTTGCCAATTTTTTAAAAGCCTAGACTGTGAATACTGACATTTTTCTATTACAGGTTTCATGTGCTCACAAAGTAAGCAACAGTTCAGCAAATGTTCACATCTGCTCTAAACCGGTTTTTGTCAGGTAATGTGTAACAGTAATATAAGGTCTCCAACTTGTTCTCTGAAATTAATTGTGACTAAGACAAAGCGAATATCCCAAACATTTCCCTGTGGTGAACATTTGCTTAAATGACATAGAGAAAAAATATACAAATTGGGTAGTTAGAACTCTGTTTCTTAACTGCTGTCAGGACGGAGACAAATGTAACTGACTAGATAACAAACGAACAGCCACTGAAAATAGAGGGAAGGATGTTGCTGGAAATTCATATCTCTATATTTTTCATAATATTTAACTGGCTTAAATGTATTCTGTCAAGAAGCCATCCATGTAATGGATAACACTCCGTGAAACTGTCCATTGTTGTGTGTTACTGATGAGTTTGTGGTGAGTGTATACATGCGTATGTATGTATCCCCACAAAAGCTCATGTCATTTCATGCTACACAAGCCTGTGACCCATTTTGTAGAAGCCTCCTTTTATTTCTTCAAAGAAAATAAGGCTTTGTGCTTGGGATTTGTTTTGGTCCTGAAAGTGACAGGTACGTTTATAATCCAGTTGAATCAAGAGTGACAAGGAGAAATATAATCAGATTTTTTTAAAACAAGGGCATTCTTTTCCTAGAAGAGCAACATTCCTTTTTTTTAATGTAAATGTCTTTATTTGCTACTTTCCAAATATTTTGGTTAAAAAATATTTCTTGCAAATTTATGTTCAAAATCTTTGCCTAGGTACATAACTTTCCTTCTTTGCAATTGATTAGGTAAATTCTTCCATTTTGTTTTCCACTAACCTCCTGATAACATAAATAGAATACTTGGTGAAGTACACAAACCACTATTGGAGAATAATGATTGTGTAGGGTGAGAGAAACTACAGTGACCTTGAAAGAATACAGCAACCAATGGCAAGGTCATTGAAGTGAGGACCTAGAGCTTCTGCAAAGTGTATATATTTGAGGGAGTCATATTTGGAACAGTACATGCTGGACAGGAGAGTTATAGGAGAAGTAACATGCTAAGTCTCCTCATTGATAACATCCATAAGTCTGCATACGTTTTTTGACATTCTGTTTTGTTGTTTTAATTTGGATGTCTCTACACCATACTTGATTTGTAGGACTAAGAGGATCTATTTCCAAGGCAATTGAATAATGTCCATTTCTTCCCTATATTTTTCTAATACTTCAGTATCCCTAATGATGCATTTGCCTAGTCTTACACTGAGTTTTCTTTTAATTTTTATTCTACTTTAAGATTCTCTCATAACTCTGTTGAAAGCATAGCTGTTAGATCTATATTGTTTCTCTATACCCGTGAAAAATTCAGTCTATTACAAGTACCCTTCTGTGTTCTAGGAGACACATTTATTGTCACCTAGACTTACAAATGAGGATATATAGTAACAAACAAGCCACCTGCTTCATAAGATAGTAAATTAGGAATTTCACAGCCCTGCCTCCCGACATCATGGCAGAGTTTGGAAAATGCTGTACACATAAAACTCTGGTAAGTTACAAAGGCAGACACGATTTGCTTTGACCAACTTTCTAGGATGTATTTTCTTAGGTAAACCCCTCTTCCTTCTTTCCTGCTGCAAGAGATGGTAAAAAACTCTAAGACAACTAGACATGCACCTACACTCTCAAAGGTGTCCACAAAGTTAAAAATCAGACCAAACAGTAAGAACACATAAATTGTACATCAGTGCCCAGGCATGGTAATAGCAAAAAAATCCCAAAAGTTACTTCAGCCTTAGAAAAAAAGTTTTATCTAATTTACTAAAGAAAACAAAAAGAAAAGAGATCCTAGGTTAATACCTTTCATAAAAATATGACATTCTCTTAGGAGAATCTAAAACTCATTTTATGAAGGGATTGTCGGTTAATACTATTAGATTTGACTTGATGTTTAATGATTCCTTGTTATTTATTTTGGAGGCATCAGAAAAAAATCTATAAATAAATGTTCAATATCGTGGTCTTAAAAAAATCCTGAAAACAGGATGTAATCATGTGTTAATTTCAGATGCCCAAAGAAAATACAAAATCAAAACAAAGCACTCATCACAGCATTATACAGAGCTTAAGCTATTTAGGGTATTACATCAATTTGTAAGTTCAGTTCTCCAAAACCCTTTTCTTTAAGGTAATAACTTTATTTCATCTTTATCACAGTTACATCTTCATTGCCATTAGCCTTCTGTTAATTGTGCAATTTACTTTAATGTTTGTGGAGTCTTGATCTAGTTTACCCTTGCTTATGTGTGTGCTAATGTTTGTGCATGTGCATTTTCTACCACATTGCAACAGGAAAGCTTTGGTTCAATTTTCCTGTCCTACACAAATGAAGATTTGGGGAGCCTCTAGGTCCTGCATTGCCATTTTATTTTTCTCTCCTTGGGTGGGTTTATTGGAAGGAAATGGGTAAAGGAGGGTGGGGAGAGAAAGGGAAGGGATGAGAGAGGGACAAAGGGAAGAGATCTCAGCTATGTTGAATCTTGATTCACGACTTTGCCTCCATTCATGGTCGGTGTTCCAGAACTTTTCCTCGAACGCCCTTGTTTTTCTCCAATTTCATGTAGTGATGGCTCTCTGTACATACACACTGGAAAGCAAAATGGCAATAATTATTTATCGTAATTGTAGACATCAATCTGGTCTCAATAAACATGTCAAATTAGATTTAATATTTTTAATTCTTATCACAAGCTCTTCTCCCTGCAACAAAAACAAGTTTTAACCTAACAATGTATTTAATGGATACACACGATCCTCTTCCAGTGCTATCAGTACAACAGCCTGTGTCTTCTTGAACTGCAGATATATGAGTGGTTTCTGTTCTCTTATAGATAAGGCTTCCATCTTTACTGTCTACTAACCTCTATAACAGGATTTTCATCTAGAGTTAGAAGAGACATTATGGGTATAACATTTAAAAGACAGAAAAAAATATTTTGTTTTTTAGACCATAGTCTGCAATTCAGTTTGGATAGAAAAAAATCCTTATATACATGCTTCTGATCTAACCTCATTGTAAGTGACATTGTGGTAAATTGAAATATTTATTGTCCATTTTCAGAATATCCTACATAAGAATATTCCTACATAGAATATCCTACATACGTAATAGGAGATAAGGCAGAAAAAAGTTAAAAAATCTCCCAATTTCCCAATTACTCCAGATTTCCTTCATCTAAGGTAATGAACACAGTCCATGGCTTCTTCGCTATTCAGCAACAGGAAAAGTGATTATGCAAATGTGTGATTTCAGTTCGCATCTACATAAATAGTTTGTTTTCTCCTCCATTGTTTTGTCTGGCTCTGAAGCTCAGTCATTTGTAAATTGTCATGGCTGCTGCTGTATTATTGTACAGAGAGAACACTGTTTTTCAAGTCACAGTTATTATGGTAAAATACATTCTATCAGCACACTGAGTACATTAAAATGACTCATTACACTGTTGTGAGATAGACATGTGACAGTAGAAAGGCATATGAAACATTTCACTTAAATATCTGGGGTTATTTTCATCCTTGACTTGTACTTCTCTCCATGTACTGAACCATCACTATAATGCCTTGTTAGTCTGAGTGTTATTTGTAATCAAATAGCTTCTTCCCTTGGGCTTTGCACTGGTACTTGAGACCTGAGAATGGCTGTGATTGAATAGATGTAATGTGGTAGATAAGACACCAATTTGGGAGCCACGCTGCCTGGGTCCTCATGATTACTCAGCCAATTTCTATCTCTGTAAACTTAGACACATTTTCATTTAGAAACATAGCATTTCTATGAGGATGAAATGCCTAGCATATTGTAAGCGTTCAAAGATGTTTAAGAAAATGAAAGAGCTGATCTTTTCATGGGAATTTTGAATAACACATTTTAGAGAACATAGTGATAACTTGTTTTGGTTAAAAGCATTCTAAATCCAATACTAGATTGAGAAAACTAAGATATGATAAGACTCTCCTCAGACTAGTTTCGTGATGAGGAGACAGGTTTCTTCAAACGCACTCAGTAGTGGAGCTTCTTAAATGTTAATGTGCATTTGAATCACATGCTATTAAAATGCAGATTCTGATTCAAAAGGTCTGCAGATTTGAGATTCTGCATGTTTAATAAGATGCCAGGTGATGCTGATGCTGGTAAAACCCAAACTACACTTTGGGTAGTACACAATATATGTGCAAAATATGTTTGATAAGCACACCATGCAAAATTATTACACATATTATTCGGAGACATTCATTAGTAAGATTACATAACTTTCAAATGTATAATTCTATATCACCTGTATATTATATTGTGTGCTCATCACACAACATCTAGTGTCCTTCTGTTACCATGAATTTGACCCCCTTTAACCTCTTCAACTTCTTCCCATACCCATTCATATCTGGTAACCACCATACAATTGTCTGTGGCTATGAGTTTTTTGTTTGTTCCTTTGTTGCCTTGTTTTACATCCCACATATCAGTGAAATCATGCAGTCCCTGTTCTTTCCCATCTGACTTATTTTGCTGTGCACAATACTCTAAAAATCATTCTCCATTGTCACAAATGGCAGTATTTCATCTTTTTTGCAGCTAAATAGTATTCCACTTTATTTATGAACCACGTCTTCAGTTATCCAAGGCACTTAGTTGTTTCCATGTCTTAACTACCATGAATAATGCTTCAATGAACATAGGAGTATATATATCTTTATGAATAAGTTTTCAAAATTTTGGGGCAGATACCCAGAAGAGGGATTGCTGGGTCATCCAGTAACTCTATTCTTAATTTTTTGAGGAACCTCCATACTGTTTTCCATAGTGGCTGTTCCAGTTTACATTCCTACCAGCAAAGTGTGAGGGTTCCCTTTTCTCCACATCCCCCCAACACTTGTTATTTCTTGATGTATTGATAATAGAAATTCTAATAACATAAATGAGGTGGCATCCTGTGGTTTTGATTTGCATTTTCCTTATAGCTAGTGAAGTTAAGAGTATTTTCATGTATCTGATGGCCATCTGTAGGTCTTGAGGAAAGTATCTGTTCAGGTCCTCTGATCATTTTTTAATTAGATTATTCATTTTGTTGTTGTGGAGTTGTATGAATTTTTAATATATGTTGGATATTAGCCCCTTATCAGACATATTGTTTGCAAATATCTTCTATTTGGTTAACTGTGTTTTTGTTGTTGTTATGGTTTCTTTTGCTGTGCAGTAACTTTTTAATTTAATATAATCCATTCACTTACTTATTCTTGCTTTTATTTCTCTTGAATTTGGGGTCAAATTCATAAAATCCTCTCTGAGAACAAGGTCCATACAGTTAGTACCTACGTTTTCTTCTATGTATTTTATTGTTCTAGGTCTTATAATTAAGTCATTGATCCATATTGAGTAAAGCTTTGTGCATGGTCTCAGATAACAGTCTAGTTTCATTTCTTTGCGTGTGGCTTCTCATTTTTCCTGGGCACCATTTATTGAAGAGGCTTTCTTTTCTCCACAGTACATTTCTGGTTCCTTTGTCAAAAATTAGTTGCCCAGACAAATAAAGGAAAGAATAAACAAATGGGACCTCATCAAATTAAAAAGTTAGAGATTAGCCTTAATTGATAGGCTTAGGTGATTAAAGCTTTTAAACAAAGAGTCAAAGAGCTTAGCCTTAATTGAAGGGTTTAAGTGACCAATGAATGAGGAATGCTGTTATTCCAAAATGGTGTAGCTTTTGAGTAGACTCCTTTCCTTCATCACCAAACCTTTGCCTCTGGAATTTTGCCTAGAGGGTGACCATTGGCTGCAGGACCCCGCTTGCTGTTCAGCAACAATGGCACGGAAATGTACACTTAAAATGGCAAATTTGATGTTGTACACATTTTATACAACCTAATTAATAGTTACACATAGTTTTTTTTTAAAAAAATCACACACACAGAAACAGGTGATCTGAGTATAAGCTATAAGCAAAGAAGTGGCTGTTAAAGAGAGGGGTGCCCATTTGCATGGGAAGGCCAAACAATCACAAATTCTCAAAATATTAGTTGTAAGCCTGTACTAGGAAAGAAAGAGTTGAGATGTAATCGAAGGGGTGTAGGGTTGAAGAGAGGATAGCAGAATCTGATGAGAAAGAACATCTTAAGAGTACACTGCCTAATACAGTATCCACTTAGCCATATGTGATTACTGAGCACTTAATATTTGGCAAGTCCTAATTCAGATGCACTGTAAGTGTAAAATAAACACTACATTTTAAAGACCACACAAAAGAATAAAACATCTTTGTCATAATGTTTTATAATGATTATATATTGAAATAATAACATTTTAGATATATCAAGTTAAATATATTATTAAAATGCATTTCACATTTTTAAAAATGATTACTAGAAAATTTTAAATGATGTATACATCTCATATTATTTCTATTAGATAGTGCTGTCTTAGGAGAATTCGCTGTTCTCTGGAAGAGATGTGCTTTGATTAGAACTAAAGCTATAGATTACTATATGATGGGGAGGTTGGTTGAGGAAACTCCCTGACCTGATTGGACCTGACCTCCTTAGGTAGACTTAGGAGAAGCAGAGTGACATGAATGAAGAGTGCCAATATACAGTCATTTCTGTCAAGAGAACTATAATGAACCCAGGAGGCTAGAAAGAATTTTGCTGTATGCAGGTCCCACTCATGAATGTTTGGACCTTCAGGCTAACCATGAAACCACATCATGGATTTAACTTCCTCTTTACAATGGGACCCAGACCATTTACAATCTTCACTCTGAAAGGAGCCAATCCTTTCAGCAGCCAACATGGTTCATTTACATCAAGGGCCTAAATGGGAACAGCACCTAAGTTTTTGCATCCTTTATTTACATATTGGACATAACCAATCCTTGTTAAGTGAGCCACATCCTTCTTTTGCCTCAGGGACCTAAATGGCAGCTGCACTTGTGGTTTTTGCTTTCATAAATGCTGCCTTTCTTCTCTGGAGCACCATTTCAGTCACTATCTGAGTCTGTGCCTCCTGGGTTGCAATCTTTTGCTCAAATAAATGCTTTTTACCCTTTGCTACAACCTAACCCTTTATTTTCATTGACAGTGTCTTTGATCCCTTTGATAGGATGAACTGGTTCACAAAACATCTACTAATCCTTTTAACTTGACTTAACCAGTCATGCATCACTTTCATCCTATTATTGGCTTTTCATTTTTTCTCTTTTCAAATTTCAATTACTCTTTGCTAATAGCCAAAAATGAATGTGTTCAAGCATAAATGTGTTCATTTATTCTATGAACAAGTGACTATTTACTTTGTACCAGGAAACTGCCTGAGTCTGTGTCATCTGCAAGAAAGGACCTCTTGGTTCCTGCCCTCAAGGAGCACAAAGCTAAGAGATCACAGGTATGCACACAAACCAAAGGGTAGAAAGGGCCAAGGCAGAGAGTTACATGGAAAGTAGCACATAAACAACCTACTGATGTTGACTTAACCTTGGAAGATACAGAAGATTTAGAGAGATGGATGATCTAATAAATAAGGATGAACTGCTGCTTGTGTAAGAAAAACAGTGACTGACTGAAGAATGTGGTAAAATAGAGAGGCAGTGAGGACTG